ACACCATATGCCCCACGGAAAGACACCTGTTTATGGATCCTATATCCATGATTGAAGCAGGAGGTGTAGTCGTCGTGGTTCTCATGCATTTCTCAAGCGTTGATTTTTGGGCGGTGTACTCTGGTGATCAGTACTTTGACTGCCGTATTTTATAGCGTAAGATGCACCTTGATTTGATATTTGGTTTAAGTTATCGTTCTCTCGGCGAATCCCGGGTGGACCTTGATCGTGTACTTTGCGAAGTTTCGTCACACTGTATTCCTGTCTTGATGGACGCTGTACCCACGACTCTAGTTGTACCGGTGCTGTCAACGGACATGTCAACTGCAGACGTGCAGATGAAAGACGAGACTACCGTAGAGGACAAGGCCGCTGAGAATGTCCAGTTAACCGAAACCGGTGAATCGGGCGCTGGTGAGCAAGGTCGTGAAACAACCCCGAACCCAGATGGACCCTGTACAAGCGAAGAGGTTCCAATGACCATAATCGCCCCGGACAACGGCAAGGAAGTACAAAAATCTAACTCGGACCCCCTTCCTGACGTCAATAGACCTCAAGAATCCATCATTACTAGAGATATTAGTATCCCACCAGTATCACGGCCACAATCTCCAGCAATGCCACCTCCATCACGTCCTGCTTCACGTCTACCACCAATGGGTTCTTTCCAAGTCCCTTCTCAGCCTTTGCTAGAGCGTCCCCTCAATGTCACAGATGCTTTGGGCTACCTTGATGCTGTCAAGGTACAGTTCCACGACCAGCCAGATGTTTACAACCACTTCCTTGACATCATGAAGGACTTTAAGAGTGGACTGTGCGTTTTATCTCTTCTTCCTAAATTCATTCCTCATATTTCTACAGTATCGATACACCAGGCGTCATAAAACGCGTCTCCCACCTTTTTAATGGCCATCCCGACCTTATCCAAGGCTTCAACACTTTCCTCCCTGTCGGTTATCGCATCGAGTGCTCTTCTGACCCACAACAGTCTTCTTTCATTACCGTCACAACCCCTACTGGCACGATGCTCCAGTCCACTCGTGACGATTCTTGGCCTTCTGCTCCGATAGCTCCTCCACCTGCCGTATTGGCTGAACCCGACGCAAACATGTACGGCAGTCTCGATAGCTCATCTATAGAACCAGCCGTTCAGTATGTCCAAAAGATAAAGCAACGCTGCGACGAGGCTACCTACCGCCGGTTTCTAGAGATTCTCGGCAAGTACCATAACACTACCGACGCCGTCGACGAGGTGAGCTTTCTGCCTTTCGCATTCAAATCAAATCCTAATTCATGTTTCACAGCGCGAAGTGTCAGCTGAAATTGCCCGTCTTTTCAAGGACGATCCCGATTTGCGCGCCGACTTCAGGATTTTCATGCCAGAGAAGAGCCAGGCTCTTTTTGACGAAGCGGAAGAAAGCTATATCACGGCCCCAACAGGACGTCGAACGCGATCAAATACGCCCTTAGATGGCAAGCCTGTCCGCCGTCGCACAGACCCCCAACCTCTCATCGAGCCCTCTGTCCCTCAAAAACGCAAGCGTAAGGCCAACGAACGGGACACTGTCTCCGCCGCACCTAAAGCTCCCTCCAAGGTGACACCCTGACTCCCGAAATACAAATAACTCACTGACATATCCAAGCTCAAACAGCCACCCCTCCCACCCTCTCTCCTCCCACCAGACGACACACACTTCTTCGACCGCGTCAAGCGTGCGCTGGGGAATCGAGACACTTACAACGAGTTTTTGAAGCTCGTAAATCTCTTCACCCAGGAGCTTATAGATACTGCACGTCTCGTCCGTGAAGCACGGAATTTCCTGGGAGACGCCGAGTTAATGCGCCAGTTTAGGGAGATTCTTGGCTGGGATGATAGGCGTGAGAGGGAGCGGTGGGTGCTGGAGGAGAGTCAGCAGCAGCAGACTTGGGCGAGGGCACAAGGTCAGGGAGGCTCTATGGTCGTCCCGATCCGCCCGGGCAGAGTTAGTGCAGGGCTTCAACTAGGAAGCTACCGTCGAATGCCAGCTAGTGTACGTCCTTACCCCTCTACTCATCTCATACTGACCACCACACAGGAAGCCAACGTCACCTGCGCAGGGCGTGACGAGATGTGCCGCGCAGTCCTCAACGACGAATGGGTCTCGCACCCCACCTGGTCGTCCGAAGACGCAGGCTTCATAGCACACAAGAAAAACATCTATGAAGAAGCTCTCCACCGCTCCGAAGAAGAACGCCACGAGTACGATTTCCACGTCGAAGCAGCCACGCGCACCATCGCTATCCTCGAGCCTCTCGCTGCCAAAATTGCCCAACTTCCGCTCGAAGAGCGATCTGCGTTTAAGCTGAAGCCCAACCTTGGAGGCTCGGGCAAAGCGGTGCATGCACGCGTCATCAAGAAGATATACGGACGCGAAGCTGGACTGGACGTTTTGCAAGCGATGCAAGATGCACCAGCCCTCGCTATCCCCGTCGTCCTCATGCGCCTCAAAGAGAAAGAAGAGGAATGGAAACGCGCACAGAGGGAGTGGAATAAAGTATGGAGGGAAGTAGACGCCCGGAACGCTTCTCGTGCTTTGGACCACGCGGGGATCGCATGTAAAGCCGCAGACAAAAAAGCTCTTTCAGCAAAAGCGCTAGTGGCTCAGATCGAAGCTGCGCGCGATGCGCAGGTGAGCCAGCGGGCTGCGCTTGTAGATCCGTTGTTTGCGCGTGCAAGGGTGCGGCATCAGCTGGCGTACGAGGTTGCGGATACGGGTGTCTTGCAGGATGCTGTGAAGATGGCGTTGTCGTTTTTGGACAGGACGCAAGGGCAGATCGGGGCTCCTGAGCGAAGACGCATCGAAGGGTTTCTGCGGACGTTCATTCCGCTGTTTTTCGTTTTGGATCAAGAGGTGTTCATAGAGCGTTTGTGCTTGGAGAAGCGGGGGAAGTTGAGATGGGGGACGATGGGGATGATGGGGAGACAGGGAGTGTTGCGGGTGGGAATGGGGGGAAGAAGAGGAAGGGTGGGCTCGGTTCGGGTGGAGATCTGAGGAAGAAGTTACTGAAAAGCGAGCAGGCGAAGTTGACGGGGAGGAAGACGCGTGCGCAGGAAGCAGCATCCCCGTCTTCCTCGAGACCTACCTCAAGACCTGCGTCTCCTGCGATACCTGATGCGATGCAGGTAGATGCCGTCGAGGAGGGGGAACGGGAGCCTGTCGTGCCATTGCGCAAGGCATCGAGGAAGAATGTGTTCTTTGGGAATACTGTGTTTTATGTGCTTTTGCGACTTTTAGAGGTACGTGGTTTTTCTATTGATTCTCCACTTTTCCATCACTAACGTGCGTTCGTTTGACTACAGGTATTATACTCCAGACTCTTATTCTTCAAAAAGCTCAGTGCGCGCATCGCTATCGAAACGCCCAAATCAGCGTCTAAAGCGAAGTCGGTCGTTCCACCGCTAGGGATGCCGTCCCTCGTCGAACTCGCTCAGCTAGACGACCGTGCTGCTCATGCAGATCATTTCTATGATCTGATGCTCGAGTCGTGCGAGAGGCTATTTGACAATGAGATCGAACAATATGTGTTCGAGGAGCAGATGCGGTATATGTTTGGGGTGAAGGATGCATATCGAATATTTACGATCGATAAAGTTATTGGGTCGTTAATCAAGCAGGTGCGTCGTCCTCCTATTTAAGTTGAGATCATTATCTGATGATGTGGGCGTAGGTCCAGATTGTGTTGGCTGATTCTAGGAGTCAAGAGCTCTTTGAGCTTTTGAAGCGCGATCGGGCATACAAGTGCCGACGATCCAAGATCAGCTTAATAGTCGACGATTTGCGGAAAATCTGCTTGGACCTGATGAGAACATTTTCCGTATAGATTGGGTGCGTCTTTTCTATTTTCAGGTCCTTTCGAGTATTCATGCGCGGTTGGAACTGGAACAGACTTCCAGACACAAAAACGATGACGATTCAATTGCTCGGAAAGATGATTCGAGGATTGATGATTCAGAGATGTTGGCGGAGAGGTGGCAGGCGTATGTGGATTCGTTCGTGTCGGTGCGTTGTTCCTTATAAAAGTCTTATCGCGTGGGGTTGATGGGTTTGATACTTTACAGAGTCCTATCACAGAGGGCATATCACAGTCCCGCGTTGGACGTCCATTTCTTCGCAAGTGCGTATATGCTACTCTTCACTTTTCGCTCGCTCACACGCATACGAATGCTAATACTTGTTTTGCAGGAACATCCCTCCTCGGCTACTGCTAGTACCCCAGCGGTGCTCGCGCGTAGCGCACTAGAAACGAAAGTATGCGTCCGGACCTATCGCTTGTTTTTCGTATCGGTACGGAAGACTTTTTGTGGCGGATCCCGTCCAAGGCGGATTTAGTGACCTGCGGACGAGAGGAAGCGAGGCGGGAGCGGTGGATTATGAAGGCGAAGGCGGGCGAGTGGAATCCTGATCTTACGAAGAGCGTGAAGGAGCCGACGCCCGTGCAGGCTGGGAAGGAACAGATCCCTGTGTCTGTAACTGTGTCTGAGCCTGAGCCTGCGAGGGCGGTATGAGGTGAGGTGCTGGTGCTGGTGTTGGAGGCGGACGCGCGTGACCATTGTACATATGATTATTTTAATCTTGTTATTGAATTTTTTGAACTACATATGCTCGAGTGTTGTAGAGATTCAGATCAGATGTGCTACGCTAGTACGTGGATGGTTGAAGTGAAAGAGGATCTCTGGTACCATGGCCAACATCTGATCTTGAGTCTGGTACCATAGATACCTTCCACTTCGGCACATCGGTTATGACTAGGAGTGTCGATGCTCGGGCCTGTGCGGCTCGGCTTAGTGAAGACTCAGGATGTTAATAAAACAATGCTGAGGTGGGGAGAGGCGCGCAGCGAGTATATATGGGTCTATGGGGATCTGTGGCTGAGTGGCGAAGGGGCTGTATAGTACATAGTATAGTAAGAGGCAAAGATTGCTATGTTGGTGACACAGCGGGTCGGACGAGTTGCTCCTTGTCCTTACTTGCTTATTTGGTCTGAGATTCTCCTTTTTCTCTAACGTCGTGGTCAACTCTTTCAGTATTCAAGTTTTTGTCGTCATTGTTCGAGTCGCGCTCCAATTCGAGAAACCTCGTTCTAATGTAAACTTCAGCACCTCTTACTTGTTAGCCTAGCGAGTACTATATACCCTGTATCTGTCACTTTTCCGGATGGCCCAACAACACCTTGGATTCGTCGCAACACAACAGAAAAAAATGCCGGAATGAAAATGAGATGTACAGATTCCATCGAATCATCATGCATTCGAATGCGAACGCGCCTGAAGTTCAATATCTGTCAATTGAGAGTGTGATGTGGTTCCGGGCTCAGGGGAGTCGCAAATGGTGTTGCAAAACCGTAGGTGCATCCGAGTCACGAGGATCGTATGCATGACGATTTGAAATGTTGCAAACATATTTGAGGAGTTGAACTGCGTAAAACAAGTATCAGGATCCCCAGCCGACGTCGAGTTGGATTCGGGTTTCTACACACCGATAGCAGTTCAAAGGCTAAAAGATTGAGCACAGATAGCGCTAGAATTGAAAGATTAATTCCGTTTTGACAGTCATGAAGGTACTACTTGCTTAGCCCAGTTCCGAAGTAAAAGATGTTGTGTTGTAGAAGGATATTGAGCAGCCGATACCCTCTTTCGCGGTATGCCCAATATACACGAATCATGGTGAGTACCATGACCTCTGGCAAAAGTGAGGACTCGACTACATTTATGGCTTCGTGATCTCACCAAGCTCGAATGCTGCTATAAGTGACCAATTATATGCAGCCTTTGTGTCGTGGGATAGTGAGTAACAACCGCCACCTATGTCTGATAGTTGGACTGTCGTCGACCTACACTGAGCGATTTACATGTGGTCTTCTTCAAGACACTCACGTTCCGACTGGCCCCAAACCTTCAGTATTATTACCATGTTCAATATCGTCAGGCACTGAAGTGAGGTATGTCAGAGTACAGAATGTGGGAACGCAACTGTATGCGCACCAGTCCCGTTAACAACAAAAGGCCCAGAATGGATTTCTTTTGTCCCCATAATGCATAGGTACGAAGGATGAAGATACCTGGAGATCCTGTGAGTATTCTGCGTGAATACACTATAAACATCATAATACTTTCTGCACCGGTGATGCACAATGCAGCAGTACCTGAGGGACGAACTTTAAAGCGGGACTGGGAAATTCTGTTGTTGCAATACTTACAATACCACATTGACTGTAGAATTTTACAAGTCTATATCGGTGAATCCTCAGGATGGCAGATGACATTGTTCCCAACTAATGCTCACCACAATATTTTCATTCGGGAGATAGTTCACTTCAGTATCCTGATTAGCTGCAAGTTGACGACAGAGCATGCCATTTGGACTCACTGCATAAGTGTACAGAGAGCATCAAGGCTGGCATGTATCTCGTCACGATATAAAGAATACTTCCTTTGCTCCACCGTGGCCGATGAATCAAAGATACCTATACACAACAATCAGCCTGTCTATAGACATGCTATCATATCTCGCAAAGATGAAATCACCTCCTGGTCCAAGATTAGGAAACAATCGTAGACCTGTGACAAGATATTGATGAATGACGGCTGGACGAACGGCAAGATCGCGCACCCAAGAAGCCACCAGTGATGCTAGCGCGAACCCTGTTAGCTATGAGATATTGTTATGGTCGAAACGATGGCACCGAAAAAATACTGCCAGTGCCAAGATTATAGATATGAGTGAAACGAAGATGTCAACAAATATCAGTCACTTACATTCTGGGACTGGATGATGGTTGAGAGATTAATGAAGGTTTGTGAGTCCATGTATAAGAGAGAGTAGGATGGAGGCGCTAGTATAGAGCCTGGTAGGCAGAATATATAACAATTCTGATCAGGGTCAAGCGTGACTCACCAGGCCTTCAGCCAACAGCACCATGATAAAGCAACATGCCAAGCAAGGGTCGACCGGTCAAATATCTTTGACTGCTTCAAGGCACCTCAGCACGATAGAACGCAGAGCATCAGATGTGCCACGGACTTCATAAGTACTCGGGGCCCTCAGCACCCGGGCGCCGCCCCTCGTAATGATACCATAAATCTCAAATCCTGCGGGTCGATTTCCTATTATTCCATGCAATGTCTACGATTGCTAATAAGCAGAAAGTTCACAACAATCGAACGGCATGCTCACCTGACATTGAAAAAGTCCAAGCGTATGCAGAGCACCTAGAAATGATGTTTCTTACAAGTA